GTTTCACCTTATGTGAAACATTGGGCAGAATACATACAATCAAATTGTAATGGTTGTGGTCAGTCTAAGATACACCTCTTTGGCCTCACAGTCCCGACGTCATTAAGCTATCACTGAAAAATAACAGTCATGATTTGAAAGGTTAAATTTGATTGGTGGTTGTGGCACAATAGGCATGTTTTCATATAGTTTGTGAAGCAAAGTTGTGTAGTACATTTTAGCAACCGATGAGGAATCAGTATTTATATACTCAATGGAAAGATGACATGTAATTGATACAGGGTACAGTGTACACCAATACTTGTTATATTCTCTGCAGCAGTTCAAGATGACAGACTAATATATGTTGACAAATTCCATTACAGTATTGCTTGTAGGATTTCAACGTGCAGTATAAACATTTCATTATTTATGTTTATAATGTATTGTTATTATTTACCTAATCCACATGTAACCTGAGAAGTGTTAACATGAGCTCACTGATGTCTTTTTTAAACTAATGATACTGATCAAAATGATCAGAAAAACGATTAATAAGAATAAACAGTGTGTGAACCAAGTTCAAGGTGTGAATGTAATTTGTAGCATTGCTTCCTTGCCTTGGATCAGAGTTGCTGTCGGTAAATTCCAGAAGAGAGGCTGTGGCCTCCCTGTTATCATTGCCTTAAATGCGAATCATGGCTCCAACTTCTGGAGATAACATTGATCAACACTTATAAGTTGTATCAAATGTATCAGGATTTGCAACTGGTGTAAACAATAAATGACTTTATAATTTACTTATACAGATTTATCATTTAAAGGAGAACTATGGGGTAACCTTTTTTGGCCATAGTTCTCTTTAGGGCCACAGAAGGACATATACTAATGTCCTCCGGTGACCCAAAACTCAGTATATATAGCGGGCTATTGCCCACTATATGCTGAGAGCACAGAACCAGCACTGGAGAAACTGAGAGGGGAGGAATCCCTACGGGGAGCGGAGACTGACAGTCACCACTCTGCAGGGAGAGGATCGGGAAGTCAGCAATCGGCGATATGTGTTTGCTGACTTCCTGATCAATAGAGCCGAACTGTGACAGGTTCAGTGTCACAGGTCAGCTTGAATTATGGGGAAGAGTATTTTTCACTCACCCCATAATTCTCCTTTAAATTGTCATCTACTCTCCCTAATTTTCAAGGAATGTCAATTGATCTAATAATTAAGGCCTCATTCACATGACCGATTTGGGTCATATGGCTCCAAGAATCAGCATTTCTCTCCGGTTTGGATGCACAGGTGTCTGCGATCAGCTGCAACCAGTAGCCTGTACAGGGCCGCTAATCGCATGTAGCTGCTTGGATGTGAGATTACAGGCACACAGCCGCAGTGTCTGTCAGCCTGTCATTGATTTGTACAGGCTGCTGGTGGCAGCTGATCAAAAATACTGGTGCATCCATGTCAGAGAGAAACGCTGATTCTTCACAGCATGCACCCCAAACTGGCAATGTGAATAAGTCCCTAAAATAACTTTTTTTTGTTTTGTTATATTTTATTATAAAATCCAGTTCAGACAGTTTATAGATATTATAAATACAAAAGGTGGAATTATAACCTGGTTCATTGGACGTGTAATGATGTTTGGCCTTTAGTGCATTTATGTCTGGCATGTCTGGCTCTACATTTCATGCTGGACGCTTCTGGAGAAGAGAGCAGAGTGATGATGTCAGTAGTGTGCTGCAGCTCATTCATTGTCAATTTACAAGCCAGGGCAGGCCCGGGACCAGGCTGTATAGTCCAAGTGAAATATAGTCTGATGGGAGGTTAGAGGAGTGCATGGCTTGCCTGTACTGTAACTGGATCACTAGACTGCCTTAACAGTATTATAAATCCTTTGGGCATTAAGACTGTTCATATATATGTATATTTAATTGTGTATTCAGCTGTTTGCCTGGAGTTCAGCTTTAACACAGTGGTATACAGTAATACAAAGAAACCAGCAGATTTCAGCTTTCCTTTGTCTTATACAGTCAGTTATTAAATTTGATGTTGATAATTACAACATTCATTGCTCATTTAATACAGTATTTGTATAAAATATGCCCAACTCTGGATATAATATATTTTAAGTTACTAGATCAGTGTACAGTATTAGCACCTCTGCAGAAGTGGCATCTAAACATACAGGTGAAACTCGAATAATTAGAATATCGTGCAAAAGTAATTGCAGTAAGTGCTGCAAAAGGGGCCCAAACCAAGTACTGAGTACATATGCATGCTTGTACTTTTCAGAGGTCCGATATTGTTCTATGTACAATCCTTGTTTTATTGATTGCATGTAATAATCTACTTTTTTGAGGTTGTGGATTTGGGGTTCTTGGGGTTTTCATGAGCTGTAAGCCATAATCATCACAATTATGACAAATCACGGCTTGAATTATCTTGCTTTGCATGTAATGAGTCTATCTCATATATTAGTTTCACCTTTTAAGTTGCATTAGTGAAATAAATGCATTTTACACGATATTCTAATTATTCGAGTTTCACCTGTATGGTGAGTTCATTGCCGGGCAATTTATTTTTCTAATGCTGCTGAGAAGCTACAAGTTCCATTGTGACTCAATGGCATTACTTCTCTATGAACTGATAATGATAACTGTGTTATATATGATCAGGTCACCTGTATAAACACCTTATTATGTACCTGCCACAAGCATGAAACCCAGCTGATGATACTTATTAATATCACTTGGTCACACTATTTAACAAAATAATTCTGAATGATTTTTTGTGCTTCTTTCAGTCCGCTTCCTTATATTATATTCAATTATTTCAGGGTGATTATATGGAAGAGTAACTCTTGCACTTACACCAACATCAACCTTGAGTATCTGCACAGTGCACTTTTGCTAAGGTATGTCTAGCATCTTCTATATACTTCTTTGTGTTCCACCTTCTTTATAAACTATAAATGTTATGACGATATTATAGAACAGAGATTGGCTAACAAGCCTCATTTATTAAAGTTTCTAAAAGAGAAATTGTCTTAGTCTATGCTGCTTTAACTAAACCCAATAAATGTGGCTTCTGCAGTATGGAGAATAGAAAAGAGAACCTGACCTGTTGCTATGAGCAGTAAATATTGTTTGAGACACATCTCTCAGGTGCCCCCTTAAATGAAAACTACTGTCCTCTAGCATGTGGAAAAGTGCAGCATTTGTAGGATGTGAATTGTTAAAACGAAACATGTACCTAAGGGAGTAACCCTTGCCGTGTCGCCATGGAAGTACTTCAGCTATAATAACACTGTTTTGAAGCTGAATCCCTTTATTGTAGCCAAATGGTACCTACAGACATTCCTGTTCTGGATGCCATAAAATGCATCCCAGCCAAGAGACTCTGCACACAGAGGTGTTTGAACAGTCGGATATCTTCTATGTTCTTGGGATGGCCTAGAGATATTTGAACTTTTTCTGTCTTGCCATAAACACCTAGAATGGGCAAATGTTCTATCATGTCTGTAGGAACCTTATGTGTTTCCTCTTTTCATTTAAATTACCCATTCTTCTCCTTTCTAGCTGAAAAGCCAATGAGGGGAATTTATCAAAACTGGAACAGACAGAATCTGGAGCAGCTGTGCATGGCAACCAATCAGCTTCTCTCTTTCATTTTCAAATCTTCACTGAACAAACTGAAGAGAGAAGCTGATTGGTTGCCCTGGGCAACTGCTTCAGATTTTGTCTGCTCCAGATTGGATAAATCTCCCTCCCAGCTTTTAAGCACGAGCATAGTCATGAAAAGTTGACGTTTAACAAAAGTTGGTAAATATAGTGAGTGGCATTAAAAGTAATTTTTGACTTGAGAAGTTAGTTCGCAGCACAAATAATTTATTCCACCCTCATTTACAAGTTCAGTGATGTGCACTACGGAATTTTAACCAATAATAATCAATCATTGTCAGCACTACTTTGAACTCTGGTGCAGATTTCAGCAGTGGAAGACTTTAGGATGATCCATTACAGTTCACATAGCTAGAGACAAGAGTTTCTTTCCCCACACATTGATCTAATGCTTCCTGCTACCTCAATCTCGTTCACTTCATCATTACCCTAGTTTTGGTTTAGCAGCAGTTATGAATCAGATACAATAAGGAGGAAGATATCAATTAGTTGGGGGCATGGGAACAGGCAGTTACTAAATTGGCTAAGCATTCATTCTCTGTGATAACCGTGTTTGGTGTTTGTTCACAGCTAGAAATTTAATCAAACTGGCTAATCAGGAATAACATAAATATACTAGACAATGCATTAAATATTATTCCTCTGAGTGACTGTACTGCATCCAGGCAGCAGCCTCTTTGTTTAATCCTGACCATGCACTGTTCTTTTTTAAATAATGCTTCTATTGTATATGTGCTTGTAAATTATTCCATCTATCATTCATATGTTATAATATACTCTAGAAAATAATGCAATATTATGTTGGTCATCAGTTAAAATGTTATTTTATATGAGACTATTATATTATTTAGAAAGAGAGATGTCCTACAACCCTATGATGGAGTAGTACATTGCTTCATCATACCACATACTTCGAGTAATTTTGCCCTTTCTTTGATAGAGGCTCTGATTGGTTAAGTGTATCAGTTGTGAGCCTCCTTGAGAATTATTTTGCTCACACTGCCTATATCATATTATCTAATGCCTGAAGACTGCATGCTTAGTGCACACTTGTTGTATGTGGGATGCAATAACTAGATAATAGCTCAGTTTTGCCTTGTCTCCAACACTGTTCTGACACTGCCCTTTTTTTAAACTTTTTGACAAAGAAGTTAAGAGTCTTTCCAGTTGACTGCTACTTTGTAAGCCTTTCCAATAGAGGAGTATCTCACTAGGACATAACAATATTTGTTATGATCAAATATGTCTCAAAGGGACAGGGATCCATTCTGCAGGGGGAAAAAACACGTTTCCACCACCTTGAGGTCTGATTTGCCTTTCCTTGGAAATGCATTCTCATCTTTTCTCCTCTTCTGGTAACAATGCCCACATGAAATCTATCCTATGCATAAATGGGAGAGGGAACCCAGACTAAGATATCTTTCTCCCCATCTCCACTTTTGAGAACAGGCAATCTCCTTCTGTAGCTTTCTCCACAACCCTAACTTCCAGGAAGAACTGGGTCTGAAAGGTGTCTTTGAAATGCCAAGTCTGGAGGAGAAGGGCACTCCAGATGCTCAGGGAGAGATGGGAACCGGAAGCTTCCTAGAACTGCCTGGGCGGGGGTTACTGGAAGTGGGATAATGTGGGCCCGAGGAAGTCCAGGTCCAGGAATCAGACCAACAGGTTCTTGGGGGCCAGTGCTGAGATGCAGATCATTAGGCTTAAGGTTCAGAGGTTCTAAGTCATTGTAGTCGGCCAATCCAGGGCTCTGTAGAAACAAAATCATAAATAAAATGCAGAACTTAGTTGACAAAGAGATTAACCTATAAATGTACAAATCAGTTCTAAAATGATGTTTGGTTAGGAACACATCAGGGCACATGTTTGAACTGGTGTTCCTACTGCCTTTAAGCAGAAACGACAGTTCATACTGTTGCCCCAGATGTGTATTGCACTTAAACACACGTTTGTGCCTGCAGTGACTTCTCAGTAAAAAGGTTCAGGACTTTGCGATAGCAGAAATTTTCCACCTTGATAAAATGTCACTCAGCATTTCATAAGATAACTGTAGTTCCACTATAGCAGCAAATTAGTGTAAAAGGTATAAAAGTAAAGAAATGGACAAGAATGAAGTGTCAAGCATTACTTCACTCCTTACTGTGTGTTGCAGAAGCTGTGTTGTTGTTGTAAACATCCTATGTGTAGACTCAGTACTTTTAAATATGATCTCTGATTTGACCATTGTTGAAAAATATCAGTGACCCCTGTGTCGTCACATATATCAATTACATTATGAACTGTTTGTTACGTGGTTTGCTTTAGATAATTAAGCAGTGCACATTATGATGCACTTACCTGGAGAGGAGAGATGGGGGAGTCTGCTGGAAGAGATGGGCTGTGCACTGGTTCCAGACTCTTTGACGCTGAGTGATAAAGTGTGTGGGAGCTGGGAGAGATGGGGCTATATGCAGGAGGGATCTGGGACAGCTGTCTCTGCAACAACTGCAGTATAATATTGATGTCTGAAGACATTCTGGACTCCAACCTGTGAGAGAAAATTACATTGATATCAGGATCTTGGGACTGCTGGACCTAATTTTGCAAATGAAAAGTTGGTTCTAGCTTTGAGATAATGGCACTGGTGTATTTTGTGCAGAGGGGTTGGTCTTTGTTTCAGAGGAACCCCTGGCACAGGAGTATGAAAACAAAAGGTTGTGTTAACAATAAGGATCACTTGTATGAGGGTTGAGGTGGTCGGGAGGGTTAGTGTTAGGTTGCAGGAAGGGTCACTGAGAGGGGTATTATTATTATACAGTATTCATATAGAGGCAACAGTTTGCACAGCGCTTTACAAAATGGAGGGAGACAGTAGAGTTGCAATACAATTTCATACAATAGGATTAGGAGGGCCCTGCTAGTGAGAGCTTACAATCTAGTAGGGTAGGGCATCTTAGAGCAGGGCATTGCTCTCTGTGGCGAGATCAATGCACCAAAACTACTAAGATCTAATGTGTTGTTTAGATTTGAACCATTAATTGATTACATGTCTGGGTAAGCTACATTGGCTAATTAAATTTAATCTTCCTTTGGTGTGCGTTTGGGGTAAAAATTAAAAAAATTTCTTATGGTACTTAATTAACTGTCTCATCTCCTTTGCATGCTTCCTAATTTTGCTATGTCCTTCCTCCTCCACTCATTCTTTTTTTTTTTTTTTGTGCTGGTTACAAATGGTGGTCTGTGCAGATATGGTGCACTATATGGAACAAAATAGCTTCTGAAATCACCTTAACTTGACTGTATCTGCGTGTAAGTGGAACTCAAAACAGCTTTTATGGAAAAAATAGTGCAGACAATACCCAGGACCTTAGTATTTGTCATGTGGAAATATTCAATTATCCTCTGCTAATATGAATGGGTTAAATGATCCGTAGTACATGATATGTAGCCCTGTACCCCCTTTTCCACTTACAGAGCTAGGTTATTTTTCTTTTAAATAAATATTAATGTATTTTAATGGTATCTATCTACCAGTAGCTGCCTCATTTCCCACCCTCGGCTTATATTCGGGTCAATACTTTTTCCCAGTTTTTTTGGCTAAAATTAGGTACCTCGGCTTATATTCGGGACGGCTTATACTCGAGTATATACGGTATATACTGTATGTATGTTTTTTTTCCCCCTATCTGGTCTGTCAAACCTCTCTAGTTGGGCCTGCAGTAGCTCCAGTCTGGATTCGATCTCTCCGGGCCGGTCATCAGGGCTAAGTGGGGGGTCCAATGAATTGTGCACCATTGAAATATGTTGATTGGTCTCTGGACACGCAGCTGAGCGGTGGTCACTCCAGAAATTGAACAAGTTGGGAACTTCAATAGGAGATGCTAAACAGAGAAATCAATAAAGAAAATTCTTTTAAACAATCAAGATTCAGGCAAATAAAAAAAAAAGAAGGAAGATGAGAGAACAGTAACACAAACAAGTGAAGGCTCAAAAGACAAATAAAAAACACAACTGTAGATGGAAAGTTATTAGTAACATATTCTTTGCTGTAAGGGTATGTGCACGCTTCCATTTGGGCTACAGCAATATTGCATTATGTTTGTCCTGTGTCATTTTAGAGACAATGTTGATTGTGGATGCAGCTACAGGGCACACTACTGAATAGGACATGCAGGACTGTTCAACTGTGTTAATTTCAAGTTGAGACCAGTATTTTTCACAGCACTTCCATTAAAAATATAGACTAATTCTTTTAAACTGACCAGCGGCAAGTCCTGAAATGTTGGTTTTGTCCATGGAAGAGCAGAGTTTTCATGTTTTTTAGACAGCAATAACATTAATTAATTCATCCTAATTAATGTCAGGTCGGATAACTGGGCCGGGAGTGGAACCCCTTGGCAGGGACAAAAACAAGTCCAAGATCGCAGTATCAAAAGGGTAACCCAATAGAGTAATCGAGTCCAGGTACGGGTCGTGGCAGGCAGCAAGATTCGTAGGCGAAGGGTCAGGCGAAAGGGTCGGTAGCCGGGAAGTCAGATCAACAGAGAGGTTCACAAGAGGGAGCTGGGTGTTCCCCATGAAGTAGAATAACTCAGCAATGAGTCAAGGCTCTGACCAGCTTTATATACACAGGGAACCCAGGACCGCCCCCTGGTTTGCCAGGGCAACCAGGAAGCTTCCTCATTCAGGAGCCAATTGCAAGGCAGAGGGCAGTTGGTGAGTGCTGGAGACCTCCCCCAGCCTGAGTAGCACCTGGAACGTGGGGTTGCACAAGCGCACTACTCGCCCCTCCCAGGCACGCGCTTGCGGCTTGCGTACCGGGCACTCGTCCTGCGCATGCGCACCGGCAATCCCAGCGCCAGATGCCCTGCAAGGGGGAGGAGGAGCCTGTGCCCGCGAGTCTGGTGAGGAAAGGCCCCCCTGGGTCCCGGACAATTATAGAAATAATATAATGTGGTTTGGGATGTAGATGAATCCCAATGTTAGTGTCAGAACTTACCTTAAATGATGCCTCTTTATTCGATCATCTTCTTACTTACTGTCGGGTGCTGGTCTCCGATCCAGCGCTGGCTCCCCTGTCCTCTTCTCTGATGTCCTATGGTGTCTGTGCGGATGCACGCTGCTCCATAGACTTACCTTGTGTCTCTCCTCGTCTCCCGGCCGAACATCTGAACTGCGCTCGCCCCAAGATCATTTGCGGCCGCCTGAGACTCTTCAGATTTTCGGACGGGAGTGCGTGGCGAAGACACAGATGAGTTTAAACCTGTTTGAAAAGTTTTTTTGTAGGGCTGTGCAAATAACGATTAATTTCTCAATCTTTTTGATCGATGAAATTTTTTTTGATCGCTAATGAAAATACTCACCTCTCCGCCGCCTTCCGGGAGTCCCGTCGGAGATCCGGGGACGTCACGGACATCGACGTCACCGGGATCCTCCCCCGCTCCCCCC